GAGAGAGAGAGAGAGAGAGAGAAAGAGAGAGAAAGAGTGAGAGAGAGAGAAAGTGAGAGAGAGGGGGGTAAGAGAGAACGAGTAGGACACAGAGGGACAGACAGTGTGTGCATGTGCATGCGTGTGCGTGTGTGTGTGTGTGGACACATGAGCGTGCATGTGTGAGAGAGTCGTGTTTCACCTCCATTCTACAAAAAAAGTAACATTCTGCCAAAAACATGACGCAGCAGGGGGAAAAAACAAAAACAATAGCAAAACAATGATGAGAAGTGGGATGGAGCGCACAGCCGAAAAAAGCGCACCCACCAACCATTCATCAGTGAGTGGGAAGAGGGGGAAAGCGCACACAGTGTTTGTGTTTGTGCGTGTGTGAGTGTGTGTGTGTGTAGAGAGTGTGTGTTAATGCATGCCTTTGTCTCTATGTGTGTGTGTATATGTGTGTGTGTGTGTATGTGTGTGTGTGTGTGTGAGTATGTATGTATACGTGTGGGTGTGTGTGTGAGTGTGTGTGTACGCTCCTTTGTGTGTGTATACACGCGCGTGTGTGCATGTATGCATGAGCCAAGTCCAAGCAACACTTACTGAACACCCTCCCCCTCCTCCTTCCGAACCTCTGTGCATCTGTGTGTGTGCATGTGTGAGTGTGTGCACATGTGCGCAAGCTTTTTTATGTCTGTGTATATATCTTTCTACGTGTATGTGTGCGTATATGCGCGCGTTAAGTCAAGCCACACTTACGGAACATCTTCATCCTCCTCCTCCTTCCATACTTCCGTGTTTCCCTGAACAGACTCCTCCATAGGCATGCATGCATGCATGCGTGTGTATCTACGTATGTGTCTCTCTATGTGCGTACGCACGCACGCGCGTTAAGTCAAGTCACACTTACGGAACGTCTTCATCCTCCTCCTCCAACAGCTCTGTGTTTCCCTGAATAGACTCCATGGGGGTGGAGTACTGGCCAATTCGTGTCTTGAAAGACTTTCCTCGCTGAAGGGCGTTCTGATTGGCTGCCAGACAGATGGAAGGAAGGACACATAATTTGATGGGCATGGTGAGATTAGAGGTGTGGTGTGGTGTGGTGTGGTGTGGTGTGGTGTGGTGTGGTGTGGTGTGGTGTGGTGTGGTGTG